GGGGGGGGGGGGGGGTGGAGGGATTTCTCTAGCCTCATCATTTGGCTTTTGGATCTTGCTTTTTATCCAGTAAACTGGCAAGCGCCATAGCATCACATTTCTTTTGAAATGAGGGTGTTTCTAGACTACCATCAACTTGCCCCATAACCTTTTCCTCAGTCAGATACCAGAGTTGCCTACTTTGGTACTAGCTAAGCCTTTCATCGCTTTCGCAGTTCTTCTTCGAGCCGTTAGCTGTTCTTCAGCAACCTCTTTCCTGCAACATGGACGTGAGCATCAGAGGAACATGAGCTACTTCAGTAGCAATGGCAGCAGTGTCAAATGTTAATAGGGAGCTAGGTCTTCAAAGGGACTAGCACGCTGCTGTGCTGGGCCTAGGGACCCAAATCTAACACTAAAATACCCAGTCTAGGCTCTATTTACAGTTCTACGGAGAGTTTGATGCATAGGAGCGGGATCTGTGATGGGCAGGAGGACAAATAATCCTGTGTTTCAGTCTGGGTCACGTTTTTAGGGCATTTGGCCCAGAAGACTTCAGTGATTTAACATCCCTTTCAGGTATTGCTGGAATGAGAAGTATTTCACTGCTGTAAACACACACTCTGTTTTTCCCCAAACCAGAACAGATACCAATCAAATGCTTGTGCTTTTCCTGCCTTATTATCAACAGCCCAACCATTCTGAGGGCTGATACTATCGTTAGAGGTCATTTTGTTCTTAATTTGTTAAAAATAAGTTAACCAAAATACTTATATGCTACAAGCTTTCATTCTTTTTCCCCTGTATGTTATAAAAGTTCAGGGGAGGCAGATTTTTGCTTTCATCTTAAAAACATTGTTTTTACTCTCTCAACAGGCAATTTTGTCGCTCACGTGATCTTTTTTCTTAGTTGTGGCTCAGTGTTTTCCAAACTCTGGCCAAATGTCTCCAAACTGTCATTCATGTTTTTCGTTAAACTACAGTTCCTTACTTTTTTGGATTTTTTGGCTGTTCCTCAAAGCACTGTAAAAGTTGTCCCTTTTAAAGGCACAACATTTTAACTGTGGCAGTATGCATATGTACTTTTTTTTTAGTTTGGACGCTGTTCAAGACTGTGCATAGGAAAAGGCATCAAGTTGTCATAACTTGTGTGAAAGTAGTGTCTAATTCCTGCTTCTGTGATCAGTTCCTTTCTTTTAGCCTGGCTAAATTCTTAGATAACAGTTTGTGCTGGTGGACAAAAACAGATGCGAAATGAAAGTTTTGTTAATTTCTAGGATGTTTAATTTGGAAATCCTAAGGCTACGTACACTAGACCTTGGGCACTGACCGCTAGCTAGACTGAGGTCTCATAATAGTCTATGGATTTTATCCTTTGCGTTAATGATAGCCAAGGAAGAAGATGCTGCCCTGTTCTTATGTGATTTGCCGGTGTGTGTACACTAGCTAGAACTCCAGGTGATGCCTCCTGTTTAACTCCTG